TGGGGCCTTCCCCAGATCCCTGCTGTCCCGGCACCTGCTGGAGGGACAGCACAGTCCTAAGACTGAGGGCACAACCAGCAGGCCTGGCCACTTCAGAATGGGCCTCAGAGGCACAGAGAGGCAGTCCTTCTTCGGGCCACGGGAAAGCTCAAGGACAGCAGGTGCCTGGGGATGGACAGGAGCTCTGCAGCTGCCACCTCGAGGGGGCAGGGGACTGGCCACGGACGGCTCAGTGTGAACGAACGAGGGCTGCCCTTGCTCACTGGGGCTGAACGGGGAAGCAAGAGCCCTCAGATTCCTAAAGGTAGCACTGAAAACTCACGGGGGGCCTCTACTTAAAATAAGACAATTTAAAAATGTTTAAACACACAGAGAAGATCACAACAGACAGCACTGTACCTACCACCCAGATCTAACAGTTGCTAACATTTCATCATTTTTGCTTTTTGAAAAAGTAGTAAAATTTCAGACACAGTGACAGCCTCACTTGCCCTGAGTCCCCGCAGGCCAAGGGCATCTTCCTGAGCCGGCCTGCGTGCACCCCCGCAGGTGCCTGCGTCCACAAACTGGCAAACACGTCACCAGTTTCCAATGGAGCATATTTTCAAGCAACTTCCTTTTTTCCTTTAATGTTATGTCTTGAGGATTTATCCAACCCCATAGATACAGGTCTGACTAGTTCATTTAGACATCTGAGTAACATTTGTCGTGGAATGAAACCCGTCATTTTAGTTCCTCTACCTGGTAAACCACGCCACAACTGATGACATTGTCATGGGTCCTTGTGCATGAGAGGGAGGCACCCAGACGGGGACAAGTGAGTCGTGTTGCGCATTTTCACCTTTCCCACGTGGCCACACCGCTCCCTGTGGGGGGGGGCTGATCTGCCGTCTCGCGGCCCTGCCCCTGGACATGTGCTGTGGGCCGTCTCCTCACTGCACCAGCCTATGCACGTTTTACCGTATGTTCTGATACTAATCCTTCAGCTCACGTATGCCACAAATATCCTAGCCGTCCTGTCACTTCCATTCTGACCTGTTTTCCTTCTGGCCACACAGAAGTCTGAAGTCCAACTTCTCACTGACTCTGCTCTTCCTCACGGCTGCTCCTGCGCCTACCTCTGTGGTCTCTCTCCTGCTTTCTCGGGTGTTCTGTTCTCCCAGCCTCTGTAGTTGGGTGACCTAACTTTCAATTGTTCTTTTTTCCTAACATATCCTCTTAAGGCTGTGGAGTTCGCTCAAGTCCCAGACCTCTTTTGAACCCCAGACTCTCATATGTACTTGCCACTTGAGGTCTCCGCTCAGACGTCTGCCTGGCCACAGAAGGTCCAAACGGACCCGGTCCTCTCCCACCTCGATCCACTGACAGCCTCTGTTAGCAGCAACTCTGTCTTCTTGGTGGTTCGGGTGTAAACCTCAGAGCCACCGACCCCTTCTGATCCCTCATGCCCTACTGGGAAATATACCCAAGCTCCAGCAGTGTCTCGCCACCCTGATCTCAGCCCACCCACTCTCACTCCTATGACCCTGACGGCCACCCAAGGGTCTCCCTGCTCTGCCCTTCCTCTGCATGGCCTGGGCTCAACACACGACCAGGGTAGTCCCTCAGGACGCAGCCAGTTTACGTTGTTCCTCGTCACTGGCAGCGGGTCCCCATGGCACCCTGAGTCTTGACCGCAGTGGGCATGCTCCCAAGAGGCCTTTAGGCCAGTTGTTCCGGACGTCTGCGCTCAGTCTCCCTCCCAGCCGTTGATGCTGCAGCCTCACCTGCTCTGTCCTGTCTTCATTCCAGAATATCACCTGGTGTGCGCCCTGTGCTTACTGCTTTGTTTCGCTTATTGCTGCTGTGTCCGCCCTGCCAGGAAGTAAGCTCCACATGACAAACAGACGACAGCCTTCACTTCACCTTTCAGGACGCAGTCTCCCGGTGGCGACGCATCCGACCCCAGGCAGAAAGAAACTCCCCCATGTGCCAGGAAGGCATCTGCTAAGTTGACCAGGCTGCCGGTAGTGCCCTTTCAGCCCTGCCCCTTGGTGGGAGACGCTGCCACGTCACGATGAGGAATGTCAGATGCCTCCCCATTTCCGTCCAGAAGAGCCCAAGTGCCCCTGTGACCGGTCAGCCCACAAGGAGAGCCTGAGACTCCGAATCTGCCTTCCCTCCCTCATGACGTTCCCAGTGCGCGTGTACATAAACGAATCCCAGCAGACGCGCTGCCCACTCAGGACGCTGGACTTGGAGACGGCAGCAGGTCACTGAGGAAGGCACCGCCTGAGGTTCCCGTGCACCTGTTTTAGCGGCTCATTTCCACCAGCACGTCCTGCCTAGAGCTGCACAGGGCTGCCCGCCTGTTCTCCTGCTGAGCAGGGCCAGGATGCCAGGGCCCGCGCCGAGAAGTTGGGAAAGATTTATGAGCACCAACAGCTCGCCGTGGCTGTTGGCGTAGGAGAAATCTTCCAAGTTCCATTCCGTTTATAAAAGAATCTGTGGGGAAAAACTGAATTAATGGGCACAGGGTTTCCTTCTGGGGTGATGAGAATGTTCTGGAAGTAGAGGTGGCACGTGCACAACATTGTGACTGTACTAAATGCCACTGAATTGGACACTTTAAAATGGTTAATTTCATGTTATGTAAATTTTACCTCAATAACAAAAAAAAAAAAAAAAAGAAAAAAGAAAAAGAAAAAGACAGAAAAAAGAGAAAAGAGAGAAGCAGCTCCCTGCCCCAGTTTTGTCTCCTTGACCAAACGGTCACCTTGGAAGCAGGACCCCCGGGCCTGGATGGAGCCAATTCCAGGACACATTCCCACTGGCTACTCTGTGCCAGACACGATGCTCCAGCTCAGCCAGGACTCAGAGAGGGGCCCTGGGACCAGAGGCATAGAGCCGACAGGGAGGTGAGAGGCGGCCTGGGTCCGAGGGCAATATTCACGATGGAGAGACAGATGCTGTGCTGGGAGCGGCCCAGACCAGGCCAGGCATGGCAGGGGTGACGCCAGGAGAGCCGGGCCTGCGTGTCCCGCTCAACAGAAGTTCTTCTGATTGAGAAACGATTCAGGAGAAGAGCAAGCACAGAGAGGTGATGCCAGGGAGGGCATGCTTTCTGACTGCTTCCGAAACAGGCCCACTTGCCAAGCCCCCATTTCTAGGAGGAGGATGACATCTCGGAAGTTCCTCTGCTGTCCGATCCCCATTTTTAGATTTTTAGTTTTGATGTCTTTGGTAAAGTCCTTGTTAAGCAGGAGCTAAAGTTAAAAATGGAGAGCACAATTTCTGTGTTTGGCCCCTTTGCCATTAATTTTAGTCACCTCTTCCTCTGAATTTAACCTTTTGCAGTGAAAAACCCAAAGCAACCCACTAACGTATTAACAGATCAAACACCCACCCGGTGCCCGTATCTCGGCAGGGGCCCCCGTCCTTTGTCAGCACTTGCTTGTATTCACCTGACTACCCCAAGTCGGTCACAGTCAGTCATTCAGGAGCCAGTTCAGAAACCCCTGAGTGACCCTGCTGGGGCTCCCAGGTGCCCTGGGACGGAGGCAGAAGCCCCGACAAGGCGACCTGCTGAGGTGATCTGCCGAAGCCAGTGTCCCAGGAACCACTCCCCCTGCTGGCTGGGTTAGGGAGGGAAACAGACCCCTGCCCGTCTGTGAGCCTTCTCTCTGGGGGCCCTTGCATAACGGGGGACAGACGACCTCCTATGGTGAAGAACAGACAATCTCACATAATGGAGAGCGGACGACCTCGAATAACAAGGAATGGATGACTGCAAAGAGGGGGGCATGGGCAATCCTGTACAACAGGGAATAGACAGGGCTCCAATGGAACCTCACTCAAGGCCCCTGAGCCCCAAGTTTAAATGCAGCTGGAGGTCAGTGTGCAATGTGAGAGAAAGATGAAGTTGGACAGACAGAGGCTGAACAGGTCATACAGGATGATATTTATGTCTGTCTATTTATCCAACAGAGGAAAACAGGCCTTGACAAAGCAACCCCTCTAGATCCTCAGGGTAAACAGGTTGGCAGATACAGCAGAGCACACAATGTGGATGCAGCCTATTAATGCAATAAATGGAGATGGGGTCAAGAGGGTGAAGGCTGGGAGCGTCCACATGTGTGAGAACTCACTGAACCAGAGAGCAGGCGAGGGGTTTTTCCAGCAGTGACTCCTGTGGTTGACTCAGCTCAATCTGACGTCCGCTCCCTTTATGCAGTTGCTGAGCTTACTGGGGTAGGAGGCCTCTGGCCAGAGCAGTGATGCTGCTACAGTCCCCACAGAAGAGGGACAGGGCCTTGCTGATGGAGGACAGCCACTTCACACTAAGTAACATGCTCTCTCAGAGTGTGACTGATGGGGCAGCCCGGTGATGAGTCCACGTGACTATCCTCAGAAGGCACCACTGGGCTCCACGGCTGAGCTGATGGTTCGCGTCTGCATCCTGATACACACAGACTGTCTGGGATTGCCTGGTGAGCCAAAGCTGCTCTAGGACTGGGACCTCCAAGTGTTTGCACCTGTCATCCCATTTGCAGGCTATGTGACAAGACCCCTTGGCAGGCCTGGGATGGATTCTGCCTTCACCCCACTTGTCAGGGGTGGGCAAGGCCCCAAGGCATGGTGTGAGAGCTCCCACTTCTGCTTGTTCCATGTCTTAGCTCAGGCTGCCATAACAGAACATCATAGACTGGGCAGCTCAAACAAGAGGCTGGAAGTCTGAGATGACAGTGTCAGCACGGTCAGGTTTTGGTCAGGGTTCTTTTCCCGGCGTGCAGATGGCTGCCTTCTTGCTGTGTCCTCACACAGCTTCGGGGGGGGGGGAGGTGCTCTGATGTTTCTCCTTATGAAGGCACTGATCCCATCATAGGGGCCCCACCCTCATGACCTAATCTTACCCTAATCACCTCCCAAAGGCCCCACCTCCTAGTACCATCACAGTGGGGGGTTAGGGCTTCAACATGAATTTTAGGGGCCACAAACATTCAGTCCATAACATTCCTCTATTTGAGGACAATGATTTTCTCTGTTTGATCAGCTAAAACAATTACACACATGTACCTGTGCACCACCCCCCGACCCTGGGCCTGCAGAATTCTCTCTGCTAAAAGGCTGAAGGAGGAACATTTCTGGGATGTACTTTAGTTTTGGAGAGAGGCAAGGCCTACAGAGGGCTGTGTGAGCCAGCAGGGTGGGGCTGAGACAGGGCCCTCCCGGGGAATGCAGTCTGCAGGCGGCTGGGCTGGGAGCAGCTAGGATCTGGCCCTGGGCAAACCTACACTCTCTCAGAGCCCCTGGGTCAGTTGAGTCCTGGGTTTTCTGCAATGGCTCCAACTTTAAGAAACATTCTTTGTAAAACTAGAAGCAATTTGCTTTGTATGGACTCTATAAAGGTTTTAAAAAAATAAGCAAATTCACAAATCAGAAAGCATCATGGTCAGACCACATGCCCTGGACTGTGGCCTGTGCGCAGGAGACGGCTGGTGGGCCGTGGCCTTCACGGGAGGAGTGGAGTGGAGTACGAGCCGGGTTGGTGCCTGGCTGCCTCTGATCCACCTGAGAGCAATGTTCCCAACCTTTCCTGGTGACACAGCTCTGAGAATCTGAGACTGGAAGTTCTCTCCTGGAAGCGGACACGTGCGGAGTCCCACCCGGCTGCGGAGGCTCACAGACCTGAGTCTGTGGACCACTGCTGGGCTGGCGCTGGAGCAGAGAACACACGGCCTGCATTTTCAGATGTCCTTCACAGCCCCCTTCACACTCCGTGTCAGCCCCACGGGGCATTCAGGAGCAGTGTAATTAACCAGCGAGCCTCTGATGAAATCGAGGCCCAGGTGACATCTGGAACATGGCACTCGCATTGCGGTGCCACACTCTAGGGTCACGGGGACAAGCTAGAGAGGGTACGGGGTGGGGCACACAAAGACTCGAGGGGTCTGAGACCCATGATGATAGTGAGTGGAGAGCTGCAGCTGCTCCAAACTGGGGGTGAGAGAACAGACTTGTTTCGGATTGTTCTAGAAGGCCAACCCTGGCCTCCGAGTGAGGGGCAGGGCAGCTTCCTTGCTGCACTTTCTTCATGGTGGATTCAACAAAGTGCTTCAGAGCCAGTAGGAGCCCACCCAGGATCAGGGCCCACTCTAACGACCTCATTTTAACTTAATCACCTCTTTTAAAGCCTCTCCCTCAAACAGTCACCTTTAGTGCTGCGGGTTAGGACTCCAACCGTGAATCTGCAGGGGACACCACTCAGCTTCACTGGGCCTTAGCATCTCCGCCTGCACCAGTGGCTCTGGCAGGTGTGTCCACTTGGCCATCGAGTATTCTCATGGTGGAGGGGACATGAGCACGTGAGCTATAAGTCTTTTTTTTAAACTCTAGACTCTCTGATGCTGACCGAGTCCTGGCTTAGCCTGAAGCTTAGTTCCGAGCACGTGGTGAAGCCAGCATGCCTAGAAAGGTGTCTGGGTGCTGCAGACATCTGGGTTTTCCCAAGTCTGCGTACCACGGCAGGGACTGGGGCAGAACACATGAGCACCCTGCTGGCCTGCTTTTCTGTGACAAGGGCCCCAGGCCACAGCTTTAATGACCTTCAGGACCCACAGCTCTCAGGTCTGGTGAGACCCCGACAGTGAGAGGTGTGTTCTCTGACCCCATCACCCCAGGAAGCACAGCACAGAGGGACGGCTCTGGACACAGAGCTCCCACTGCCAAGAAAGCCACTTCTCCTCCTTAATGCCGGTGGCCCGATCTGAAAAACAGGCACCTGCAGTCCTGTCCTGGGGAGAATGTGAGGGCCAGAGCAGGTAATGATGGGACAGCCAGGAGCCCCGGAGTCAGCTGCACACAACGCTTCTCTGCAGGGCTCACTGATTCTCAGCCAGCCTGCAGGGCATGGCCCCTTGTGGCTCAGGGACGCTGGCCAGCCTGGAGGGTAGGTGTGTACCTGTGAGGACTCAGGGACCCTGACCAGGCTGCAGGGCATGTCCCCTTGTGGCTCAGGGACCCTGGCCAGCCTGGAGGGTGCATCCCCTCAGGACTCAGGGACCTCAGCCAGACCGCAGGGCTTGTCCTTCCACCACCCTATCTTCAGCTGAGGACCTGAGGCTCAGATTGGTTTGGTAACTTTCACAAAAGCAAACAAGAAGAAAGGGTGAGGTAGAGCCAGGACCCCAAACCAGGCCCACCCTGCATTACAGGCTAGTTCTTTCCATGGTGCCACCCTGTCTCTGATGGCCACCTGTGAAAACACAGTTATTTGACAACTCAATTGTTTTCTCTCTTCAATGAACAATGTCGTCACAACTGTCCTCTAAGACGAGCATAGCGGCTGGCGAATGGCCTGGCCCTCTGGCCGCCCGTCCAGCTCTCTCCTAGGGCCCTTCCTGAGTGCGGGCAGGTAGGGCCAGGACCCCAGGCCGTGGTGCAGCCCTGTCCCAGGGAAGCCACCTCATTCCGAGAGGAAGGCACTCTGCCCCTCGAGAAGGCAGCTGCCCAGGATCATCGGATGCCTCGCCTGGGGTGGGGGGCACAGCCCAAGACGGAGCCACCAAGTGAGTGCCACGGGGCCTTCATGCTGCCGGGAAAGGAGGGGTGTCAACACGCACTGTCAGAGCAGCTCTTCAGGAGGTCTGGGTTGAACACGAAACCCCAAAGAGTAACGTGGTTTCAGACCCTTCGAGTCTCCTTCCTGAACTGTATTTGACTGTCGGCAGGAGCCGCTTCATCTAAGGCAGCGAGGCTCCGGTCCGTGGAAGACAATCTCTCAGATCGACGCGAAGATTGTTGGGATGAAAACAGGGGTCTGCTCCACACCCCCCTACACTTCGGAAGTGCCTCCTGCTCCTGCCCGGCCTCCCTCCCATCTCCACAGCCTGAGGCCCCGGCCAGAGAGGAGCACGGCCACTGGCCTTCTCCCCGGACACCTTGCTGACCAAGCCCTGTGTCTCGACTTCCAGACGCGGTTGGAGGAGAGATGATCGGATTCATCACGAGTTGGTAAAAGGTGACAGAAAAGGTGACATTCTCATCCCAGACGTGATGAACAGAAGGAACAAGATGGATGGCTGTGACTTAAGCAAACTCGTAAGACAGAGGCATCGTAAACCCTGAACGAGAGCGAAGATTCCCAAGCTCTGCACTCCCGCATGCACGGTGCTGCCCTCTGCAGAGCGCTCTCTCCCAGAGTGCCCGCGCTATGCAGGCAGCCCTGCGGCCTCGCCCGGACTGCTTTCTGGGCCTTGCCCAGCGGGGCCCTCCTGAGGACAGCCTGGTTCTCTGGTTTGTCAGGGGCAGGCAAGCTGCTCTGGGCTCCCCGTGAAGGACCCCTGCCGTCCTCCCTGCCCATGCCGACACCTCCAGGACACTGTGAGCACGTTCTCTGTCTTCCCTGCGTCTGTCTGATGGAGGCCGGCGGGTGTGGCTGATGAGCACTGGCTGGGTCCGGGTTTGTGAAAGCCAGGGCCTCACCCCAGCCAGGCAGACTATAACAGCCGGCACACGAGATCACAGTCCATCTATGTGTGACGGCCGGCTTCACTGCCGGGGTGTGGGGGCAGTGGGCGCTCCCCTAGGACGCAGAGATTCCTAATCTCCGCCCAACTTTATCCTGGACAGAGGCCCTGGACACGTGTCCTGATCTGAAACCTGGCCAAAGAGGGAGTTTCTTCCTTAAAAGATAGATACATGGACAGGGATGCTTATAAGATAAGAAACTGGAATGTGTGAGGCAAAGACCGAACAGCGTCCCAGGCCCCGCAGGAGACAGTAGAAATGGAGAAACACACTGTTTTAGAGTCTCGGGTCTCTGATGTCCACAATCAGCCCTCCAGGCTCAGTAGCCAGTCCAGACTGACCTCTGAGGACCTGCCATGTGCAACTGACCCCTAAGGACTGGCCATCTGGAGCTGACCTCTGAGGACCCATCACCCCAACCTGAAACAGCCCCTTGGGAGCTACGGTTCTGGAACTCTGAGGAGGAGGGGCCGGGCCGGCCCCCCCCACCGCCCCTCTGGCACATGTGAGAACCACAGCCCTGTGGAATGGCATTCCCCACTCTCTCCTCCTTGGGTGCAGACGCAGAGCCTCCCTCTGGGGCCCTTGAACACCTCTTGGACATCTGGCAGGCTCGGAGACTTGGGGCTGGCAACAGAAAACCGGGTTCAAGAAACCTTGCTCCTCAGGAGCAAATGATTTCACCTAAATTTCTGTTTCTTACCTGGAAAATGGGCCAAGAACATGCAGCAGCTACTCTCAGGACAGAAGAGATGGGGTGGGGGAAAGCGTTCCCTATCATGCCAGGGTGGTGCTGGGCGCGTGCCTCCTGGAAGCCACCCTGCCAGAGGAGGGAGCAGGTTGTTTCCAGCAGCCAAGGCACATGTCCTGGGCGGGCCCTGCACCAGTCGGAGGGGAGCTGCCTCCTCCTGCACTGAAAGGGCTTCCCTTCCGCCGGGTCCTGCCATTTCAGATTCTAGACCTGCCCGTGATCTCTAGAGGAAGAGAAGCACCTGGGAAGGGTCAGAGCACCCCATCAGCAGCCCCCCCACCCCGCCCCGCCCCGCTCATGGGAGCACAGGCAGGCCTGGGCAGCTCAGGAGATGCCCACGCACACCTGCAGACGCCACCGCTCCTGTGGGCACTGCCCCGCTTGCTTCCTGGCTGCTCCCAGTTAATGACTGCTAATATCTAACCAAAGGACGGAGGTCTGCATCAGGTTCACACACACCAATGCTGGACGATCGCTTCATCGCTCTCTGGGGCTGCCGAGGTGTGGGAGAACCCTGGCTCTGTCCCATCCTGGGCTCTGTCACCAGGGTAGGAAGCAGCTTGCCGGGGGCCCCACCGTGGTCCCACAGCACTGACTCCTGTGACCAACCAACCGGCGGAAAATGACGGAACAGTCCCCGTCCGGCCTCCTGCCTCCCCCAGGCCCAACCACGAGAGGTGTCCCTGGCTCTTCTTTAGATTTTCTGAGAAAGTGACCCTGCCATTTCTCTGAGAAGCCCGAGTGGCTCTTTCTGAAAGAAATCCTCCTGGTAGCTGCCACTACCGCCAGCTGCTGGGTGGAAGCCCACTTGCTGCTCTGTTTGGTTTTCCTCTCTGGAGCTTGAGGGTGGAGATAAAGTCAATCTCGAGGTTTTTTTTCTAACCGTTTTTCCTTAATTTTGAACTTTTTACTAGAAGAGTTCTTCACAAAATTCTAAAATATGAGTCCACAGGTCTGCGGGAACCTCTGTGTCCAGCCTGCTGGGACCCTGTCGGCTGCCCGGCTCTGTGTGCCTCCTGCAGAGAACGCCGTCAGCTGCAGCGAAGAGCCGCCCAAGGCAGACAGGCCGGCAGGTTCGCCAAGAGGCTGGTCACACTTTCTTCACGGATTCTGCAAATCCGAGGTCAAGAACGATATTTGCTGCCTGGATTCGTAAGGCTCCAGCTCTTCGCAATTCACCTCACTTGTGAGAGTAGAGGAAAGGGACTCATTTGTTAATTACGTACTTGATGTTTGCTGACCCAGCGGCACAGCTGTAGACCCGAGGGCAGCGCGTGTCGGTGTTTTGGTAACGGTCAAATTTATATACGGGTTTTTCAGATGGAAATAGATGCTGCAAGAGACTTTGCATTAAATTCTGAAATAGATTCTTTTTCGAAAGTTTAGGGGGGAAAACAAATCTGGATCTGGAGCGACTTCTCTGTTCTACGGAAAGTGAAACGCCCTCCTGGTGAGTCCCGCCTGCAGAGCCGGGCTGTCCTATCGGAATAGGAATCTGTGAGGTGGCGGCAGCGAAGCTTCATCTCAATAGATTTCAGGCTGGATTACTTTCCCTCCTAGGCTAAGGGAAGGTGGCTGGGAGAGGGAAGAGGACATTGGGATCTTCGTGAATGCAGAAGAGCCCAAGATGGGGCAACGCAGAAGAGGAGGCAAGAGGCAGGTGGCCAGGCTTGAGCCCCTGCCTTCAGAACCAGGAGGCCCAGGAGGTGCAACCACAAGGCCCTGGACCGGAGGGAGGTTCCTCTCTCTGGCTTTCTAAGGATTTCTTCCCAGAGCCTCACATAGCTACCTAATTCATCCAATAAAATTTGAGTGCTTGCTGGCTGAGGTTCTTTCAAATCGAGGGGACTGCGTGGGTGGAGCAAGTAAGCAAAACCAGAGCTCCAACCCCTGCCAGCCCAAAGAACACACACCTGAGAGTGAGAGCCACTGAGCTGGGGGGCAAGGGGAGGCACCCTGGCCTGGGTGGTCACAGACAAGGGAGAAGGCACTCACCTCCCTGCTTACTGTGGTCAAGATAGATCGAGACCCTTCGGGCCAGACCTGCGAGGAAACAGGGTTGTGGGTTTGATGCAAGGGTAAGCAGGCCAGCCAGAGAAAAGTAACCCACTCAAACAAACCAAAAAGGGTTAGAAAAGCGCCCAAGGAGCAATGGGGAAGGGTGCAGACAGAGCGGCCCAGGCTGCAGCACGCTTCAGTCAGAGAAGGGCCAACCTCACCAGGTGGCCTGCTGAGCTCGGCAAGATGCACCCGACAAATGTGGAAACTCCATTATCAGGGTTTTTTGACTAAAACACGTCTCTAGATGGGAAACCAGAAGGTGCTGTGGTTCACTGTGAAACCTGACCACGACGGCGTCAGGGCTTCCAAGCACCTGGGCGCTCGCGGACATGGGTGCGAAGGCCACTGGCCGGGCGAGGGAGGCCTCCGAGCGGGAGGAGGCGTGGCAGCTCTGGGAGGTCAGTGGGCAGAAAGGCACATGGTTAGTGAGGTCAAACTGGCAGGCGCTGGGCTGGCGGTAACACCGGGAGGAAGAGCAGAGGGGCAGCGGGGAGCAGAGGGAGATGGCGCCTGTATCAAGGGTGCTCAGAAATGAGGCTCAGCTCTGCACTCACAAGCAGCCCCAGTGGTTAGCGAGGAGGCTCTGCAAGGGGCACTCGAGTCCAGGCGTCTCTGTCCACGCCTGTGGCTGGAGGACGGGTGGTCCCACCACTGACTCTACTTTAGAACACGATATGCTCAGCTCTAGAGTGTCCCCAGGCCAACTGTGCACATGTGTGCACATGCGTGTGCATGTACATATGTGGGCCAGAGGTCCTTTAAAACGTCGACGCAGAGACCCTGCATATATTCTATAAGACTTCCAAAGAGCGGGCTGGAGCTCCTGCAAGGAACAGTGTCTTCCCTTTAGTCACAAGCCACACAATCCAGTCTCTTCAAACGAGCTGCCAAGAGAGGGACTTGGCGAGCACATTCCGAGCTGAGAGAGCTTAGAACGAAAGACGTGACAGGCAGCAGCTTTCAGCCACTTCCGTAAGGGCTCTCTTCCATCACCCAGTTCAGCTAAGTCCTCTGGGTCTGCTGACAAGGCACCCTCCCCACCACCCGCCCTACACGCCGGCATTCACAGAAGACAAGTCTTCCCCACGCACATCATAGCTGAAGGACATGGGGGGCCAGGCTTCACGGGGTGCACGGCTGTGCAGGATCCCTTCCAGTCACAGATTCTTGGAGGAGCTGATGACAGCCGGGGCCCCTTGCCAGAAAAGTGTACCTCTTCCCACACACAGACAGCTGGCAGCTGCCTGAGGGCCTCGTGGGCTAGGCGGAGAACCGCGTGTGCACAGCAGAAAGCCTCAAGAGCCGGGAGGTAATTTGGAGCAGGGAGTAGGGGCGACTGCCTCTGCCTGAGAAGGTCCCCGGAGACCATGGCCGGAACTCCATAGGGTACTGCCTTGTGCTGCATGGGGTGCCCCAGATGCCAAGAAGCAATGAGTATGGAAGCTTCTCTTGGTGTTTTCCACTCCTTTTCTCCCTAGGGTCACAGCCCAGACTCTGTGATTATCACATCAGAGGCCAGAACCGTTCCTGGGATGGGCGAAGAGAGAGAAATCGGGTGCTGAGAGGCAGAAGGCAGCTAGAAGTTGGCACAGGGGCCGAGAGTCCACAGACCTGCCCCTTGTTACTGAGATCCTGAAATGGAAGTTACAATCGGGGGGCATCTCCGGCCCTGCTGGGGCCTGTGGTCCCCTCACGGCAGAGGGAAGCTGTGGAGGCTGGGGGTGTGGGCCGGTGAGGCAGTGAGAGTGCAGGGCTCCTTCCGGGGGAACGCCGGTACTCGGGGCTACGCCTCCGGGGCCCTGCGGCACACAAGCCCATCCCGTCCTGAGCCTTTAGACCCGCTGGTCTCCTGGGCTCCCCATCCCTTCTATCCTTCCATCCTCCCAGAAAGAACAAGGAAATCACATCTTCCTTTTTGCTAAGCCCACTGAGGCCTGGCTGAACGGCAGAGGCCATGGCCACACACACTCTGGCCGAGCACCTGGGAGAGTGCAGAGTTCCCACCCAAAGCCCCTCACCCAGACCCGCAGATCAAGACCCAGACGGGTGACCCTCACCGGCTGTTCCCAGCCCCTCACCAACAATGCCTCTCCCACAAGGTTTCTGAAAACCTGGGTCCAGCAGGAAGGGGGCGGGGCAAACGCAGGTCTACCCTGGTGGGACCTGCTCTCCAGTCAGGGCTGCAGTGGACACCTGGGCCAGGAGTGGCTCTCCACACACCAGGTGACATCCGCGGACCTCTAAGGGCTGGAGACGAGTGCAAGGTGCCCGGAGACCCAAAGTGTGGTTCTGCGGTGCTGGCGGTCCAGTTGTGCAGTTTCCCTTCTCCCAGCTGGTGCCTGCGCTCAGTCTCCTCAACAGCCTCTCTCACCATAACTGAGGCAAGGGGAGAGGCGTTTCGGGTAAGATGCACACGCACGCATCATTTGTGGGAGAACGTGAGGCAGGCGGTCGTGGGATGAATAACCAAAACAACCGGTGCATCTCTGGGGCCGTCAGTGGCTCTCGACGCTCCCACCCGGGCCTGGCCATGGCCCGACTGCTCTCCAGCAGCCCCTGCTTCCCCGCATAGGCATCTCCGAGGGCCGCCTTGCATGCAGGGCCTGGAGGAACGCCCGGGGCGGCGCGTCCTCTGCTGAGACAGCAGCAGGAGGCTCAGGACTGAGAACTTCGTTGTCTGCGTCCTGAGGAGACGGTCAAGTCAGACAGCATGTGTCCTGCAGTGACGCCCGAGAGCACGGGTGCCCCGAGTGCCATGGGGAGGCCACCACGACCACCTGCTCCCAGCATGGATGCTGGCCCCCAGCAGAGCCACCAGTGTGGGACCGAGGGAGTGGGGGCCGGGGGGTGGGGGCTGAGTGTAGGGGGCTAAAGAGGTGGGGGTTGGGTGTATGGGGCTGAGAGGGTGGAGCTGAGTGTGGGGGGCTAAAGAGGTGGGAGCTGGGGGTATGGGGCTGAGAGGGTGGGGCTGAGTGTGGACGGGTTGAGGGGGTGGGGGCTGAGAGCGTGGGGAGCTGAGTGTGTGGGGGTTGAGTTTGGGGGCGATTGAGGGGGTGGCGGCTAAGTGGGTGTGGGGCTGCGGGACTGGGGGCCGAGGAGCTGGGGGTTGGGGCAGGGCAGAGGTGTCTCTGCGGGGCAGAGAACAGGCTTTTCCTCCAACATGGGAAAAGCAGGACACTGCAGCCATGTCACCCACGTCAGCACAAGGCCTGCCCAGAGGGGCCTGGGCCACCTGAAAGTGGCTGCGTTGGGGTTAGGAGGGGTGGATATAGATGACTATTCTATCCTGAAAAAAATTCTAAAACATGGCTTCCTTTTTTAAAACAACATAGAAGGAGCTGTCCACCCTGGGGCAGTCCACGCTAGCAGCTGAGCTGTCCGTCCCACGTGAAGTCGCTGGGGAATCTGAGTCTCCCCAGGACAGGTGCCTGGATGGAGGGGGAAGGAAGGAGCCACACAGACACCTGGTTGTGAGGATAAGGTTATGCAATGACAGGGCACAGATGAGGCCCCGTGGGAAGCGGACAAAATGCAGAAATCCCAGGCTGGTGGAGGAGGAGCAGAGAGGGGAAGTGCTTTTACTGTCAACGTAGCAGCAAGTAGCTTTAGGATCACGCTACAGGAAGACAAGGACTGTAGCTGCGGGTGGCTATGGAAGTGCAGGCCCTATGGCCTGTGCAAATGCTGCTGGAACATGGCACGCCCCTGAGCTGAAAGTGCGGCCCCGCAGGGACTGGCAGGTGGTGCTGGAGATTTCTCCCTGCTGCGGAGCAGCGGCTAAGCCCCCTGACAGGCGGCATGCACAGCTGTGCCCAGCCAGCGCTGCAGCCACACCAACACAGCCCGAGAGCGCCTTCCATCAGCCCAGGGCAGGCGAGAGCAGGAGGGCCCATGTGGCCTCCAGTGCCCAGATGCAGAGACACAATTGAACACACCATGCACTCATCACCGAAAGGGAGTTAATTTGGGCATAAGCAGCACAGAATATAGGTCCCCCAGGCCCCACCGGAGGCAACGCTTCTCCCAGCCACACCCATCTCAAGTGAGGCTGAAGGCTGGGGCCGGTGCACCCATGGTGACCGGCTCAGGCAGTTTGGCGCTCTGCTACACTGCTGCCCAGCAGAGCTGCGTCTCCTGAGGTGGAATCTGTGGTGACTGGGGAAGCCAGCTGGTTTAGAGTTCGGGGAATCTGAAGTGAACACGGCAGCTCTGGAACCTCCTTTTGTCTCTGGGGAGGACCCACCTCGGGTTGTTGGCAGCATGTCCGAGAGCCCCTGCCAAGCGGTCACCATTTCTGGATTCTTCTCCAAATCAGCGAAGTTCTTCCAGACTCTGATGGCACCATCATCTTGGGGAGAGAAGAGAAGGAGGGTAAAACCTGGGCCTGGTTGTTCTGGGCATGTGGTAGGAAGCCCCTCCTGGCGCAGGTGCAGCAAAGATGACACCACTTGGCCCCATGCTTGGCAGCCCAACTCATGAGGGACGGAGTTCTCTGGAGGCCTGTTGCCTCCACTGTGCCCTCAGAGTCACATCTGGGCAACTGGGGAGGGCTGCTGGCAAAGGCAGAATGAGGGACCAGTTCTTTCTCTGACCTTGGGCCTCAGGACCCTCCTTTAATGCCACTTCCCCGATTCTTCCCACCGTGAATCATCTCATGCCATGCCAAGAAAAACCAGTCTAAACCAGTCTCACGAGGGGACAAAGGCCTCGGGGCCTTCTGTACTCTCTTCCCACTTCCTGCCTGCGCTCTGCTCCACACACAGAGAAGCCTGTGGTCTCCAGACCAGGGAACAGTGGGCCATTCCTCCCTGACTATGGAGGTTCAGCACGGGGCAGGTGGGCAGCGAGGTGAGCCTGAGTGGTGCCCACCATGTGTCCTTCCTTCCTCCCGTGTGGCATGCACTGGGACCCCACTCTCTGGCCTCACTAGCCCCTCATACAGTCCCCTGAGGCAACCTCAAGCCGCCAGCTGCTTCCAGCCCCTCTGCCACCCGCCCTCTCGGAAGCCCACCTCACCTGGCTCTGCTGCGGGAGGGGCAGGCCATTTGGGGAACACGGCCAGACGAGCTTGCTGAGCCAAGTCCCGCCCCCAACCTCCATGACTCCCCCCGCTCTGGAATTTGAGCCCCTGTGCTGCTTTCCCACTGGGACCCCACCCAGGAAGGACCTTCGCTCCCTCGCCTGTGCTGCCGTGCCCAGGGTCACCCTCTCCTCCTCCTCTTTGGTGCTCAGAGATGCTCACTCTGACCTGTCCTAAACCTCTGCTGAACCCTCCGGGCCACCTGCATCACCTCTCCGGATCTCTGTCCTGTCCTTCAACTGACACTGACAGCAGAGGAGGACGGCTTTGACAGTGGCTTGACTTTATTTGTCCCTGAGGTGACCCTGCTTGGGGGACCTCTCCCCATGGACACGCCCTTCACAGTGGGGCCCAGGAACACTTTGAAAGAAGAGAAAGGTCACGTGTCAATGCAATCAGCTTGACTACCTCAATGGCTCAGAAGCCTAGAACAGGACAGACCAGGACAAGGCAGGACAGGGCAGTACTGGGATAACATGGGAAGTGAGGCCGATGTCTTCTGTCTCCCTCTCACCTCGTGCCCCCTTCCCCCTGCCCACCTCCCTCATCATGTCTGTTGTCTCTGAAGGGAGCACAGTTAGACAGACAGCAACTTCTCATCACGAAGAAACCGTGGAATCATATTTTTAAAACGCTAAAGGAAAATGACTGTTACCCGAGGGTGGCTTACTTGGAAAGCTACCGTTCAAGAGTGAGGGTGAAATGACGACATTTCAGACCAAAAAAGAAGTGTGAGCTCCACTCCTACTGAGCCATTGCTGAGAGATCTAAGGCCGTCCTCCAGGAAGAGGGAGCCTGACCTGAAGAGGAAGGGGCGCAGCCACCACTGACGGCCTCGAACCCCTGCACGTGTCACTCTGGGGCCTGCCTCCCTCATCCTCTGGTGTCCCCTGAGACAGAGAAGGAGACATGGTCCCCAGGACACTGACTGACGATGGTCCTCTGCCCCCCCCGTGCTTTGTGGGTGAAGCCCTTTCCCTCAGAAGCCTCCTAGCTCCTTGATGCTGGTGGCCTTCACTTATGAGCAGGCCCCTTTGCCAGAAGACATGGTCAGAGTGAAAGGAAGCTTTGTACAAACACGTGCTGGGCTCTCGCATCTGTCCCCTGCCACCACTGCCTCTGGCTTCAGGCCCCCGGCCATGCCGACCCCACTCACCTGTAGCTGTGAGCAGAAGCGAGCAGTCCTGGCCGTTCAGATACTCCATGGCGGTGACCCTTGTGTACCGAGGGTTTCCGTTGTGGAAATAATCCAGCTTCTCCCCTTTCTCCCAGTCCCAAAAACTTAAGGGAATAAGAGGAATAAAGCTCACAACCATGTGAATGTTCTTAATGTCACTGAACTGCACACTTAAAAATGGTTAAGATGGTAAGTTTCATGTTCCTGTATACTTTAGCACAATAAAAGAGAGAAATAAGAAAACGAGGTAAGAACTACATCGACTTTATAAGCTAGAAAAAGAACCACCCCGTCCTCCCCCATTAAGCGAGTACTTTCTCCATGACGTGGGGCGTACTAGCTAAACATTAACTCGTCTTAATGCTTTCCCGTCACACACTTGCTTCTGCAGAGGCAGCAAGAGCAAGCCTGTCACATGTGTCTCTGTCACAATGTGGTCTCAATGAGCCCACGCATGCTCTGCCTTTCATGCTACACGGGAACGGCGTAGTCTTAATATCAGAAGCTCCTGTCATGCCCCATGTGTCACCGCCCTGTCCTTAGCCCATGGCCAGGGCTCTGGACTGCCTTCAGCAACAGGCAAGAGTGCAGTACCAGGGGAGGGGTGCGGCCACATGAGGCGAGGGCGGAGGGACGTTCCTGGAGCCCCTTCCACCTGCAACAGCCCAAAGGGCCTCCGGGGTGAGTACTGTGCCCGAAGGTGAAGAAGGTGTCCTGTCTACACTGTGGGGAGGAAGGCTGACTGTTAACCGGCTGAGATGCAAATCCTGACAAGCGCCACGCGTACCAGATGCTGTCTTTGTCAGCTACGGCCACACATGGTGTAAAGGGGTGAAACTTGACCACGGAGGGGACGCCAGGGTTCCTGTTCAGAAATATCTGGTCATCCAGTCTCGTGATACCTGCCAAAGGAACACACGACGATGGGTCTTAATTTACAATAAATATTGATGATGACATGTTCTACCAAGGCGGACACCTATACCTCGTGTTCGAGAGCCTGGAGAGGAAATGGAAAGAAAGCAGAGATCAGAGGGGGGGCCCTGGCTCCCTGGCCGCAAGGCCCTGCCTTTGCGTGGACTCCCCACAGCTCCCGGCGCCAGCTGGGTGCTCTGCAAGTTTTCAGTCAATGAGTGTGAACTCGTACATTGTGACAGCACATCAGCACTATTCAGATTAGTGCAATCTGGTTATGATTTTACGAGGAAAGCGCTGAATATTTCAGAAGAAAGCTCCGTAAGGCTGTGACTTGTAACTCAGACCCCAAGTTGAAACATGGGTACAGCCATCACTGTCTGCAATCCAGTCGCAGTTCAGGCGGGTCCTTCGGTCTAGAAAGGTGATAATGACACAGTCACAGATAATGACACTGAAGGGCAGATAATCACAGACTGCACAGAGGAGGTCGGGGGAGTGCAGGGTTATTCACCAGGCCCCCAAGTACCAGCACCAGGAAATAAACCCCTCAGGGCTCCGAAATAATCTGGTTTAGGAGAAGAGAGGCTGAGGACGCAAAGACGTCATGATGGGTTCAGACACTGCTGGTGACTAATACAGGGCTGATTCACAGCAGCCAGGTGTATGAGTCCCTTCCTTGCACGGCCGCAGAGGGTGAGAGTGAGCACCCTCCCCAATGCTCTTGGCCAGGCCCCCGGGGAACCCAGGAGAGCGTTCAGAGATTGCAAACTCCTCCTCGGCCACAAACGCGTGAGGCAGAGAAAAGCTTCCACTCATCACTGTGCCGGGGGCCGAGCAGGGTGGGGTGCTCATCGCTGATAATTTCAGTCCTCCAGCTCCGCCCCTTGTTAAAAATAGCAAACCCTGAAAACCCCTTGATGATAAGGATGAGGTTAAACCAACAGGCCAACAGGCCCCAGAGGCTTCAACTGTGGTGGCAGCACTGTGTTCCCCTAGAGGCCTTCACTCGTGGTTACAGGTGTCTTTGGAGGAAACCAAGATAGCAGGCATCACTTCCACCAGTAAGACAAAGGGAACACCCAGATTCTTAAGTCAGAGAATGTGTTCTGCATATATGCAAACATGGGTGCATGCTGGTGGCTGAGGTCCTGACTCATGGGCTGGGTGGCTGCAGGGGGTCAGGGACTAAGAAAACTGACATTCACTTCCCCAGCTCCTGTCTCCTGGCCCATGCTTACTCGTCTGGTAACTGCTCAGCCTACAGGCATGACTTGCCCCCTTCTCATTGTTACATCTTTCCCAGCACACAGCTGACTCTCAAAAAATAAAACTTCACACTGCATCCAGCTTCTGAGCATGGCAGGTAGCTTGCAGAGGGTGTGGTTCATTAACGCTCCGTTTCTCTCATTGCTAAATCCGTTTACACTGATTTTGCACTGTGCAATCTCATTTGCTAACGTTCCCAGCAGTTCAGCAGCTCTTCTAAGGGTGCTTTTGACAAGCAGATCTCGCTCTTTTTTTTCCATAAGGACCAGAAAAGAGAACCCCTGACTCTGGTTTACAAAGACATTCTTTTGTTTTTGTCTACAAAATCCAGTTGTTTCTTGAATGCCCTGGGCTAATTTCGCTTCCTGCTCAATGCTGACCGGAAAGGAAAGCCCAGAGTCTGGCCTTCAGCGTCCGGTCCAGTTTCCCTTCAGACGTCTCCCCATGGAGGGCGGACTTGGCTGCCAGGCCTCTCATGGGTACAGGGAAACCAACTTGTCCTGCTGTCCCCGTCTCTCCCCTGCAGAGAGCTTCAGAGCGCCGCCCGCCCTGGCTGCACTTGTTTGAGTGGGAACGGCTGGGGCAGCAGACGCTGAATCCCAAACGCTGGAGGGCTTTAAATCTAGCTCCCGACAGCTCCCTCGTGGAGGCACAAAGAGTTATAAACAACCAAGATGACTTTTCAGCCGAAGTGACTATGTGCATTAATGAAACATGACCCCAGGGCACTTTACAGGGAGGGCTCTGAACGCAAGTGAGGCTGTGCGTGGAAGTGCTTCAGAAATGTCACTGGCTTCTGGAAGTAAATAGTCATCTGTGGCGCTCAGGGGGGCAAAGGAGTGTGCCGGGCCTTGGCAGGCTTACTCAGGATGAGACCCCCCCGATGCCCCTGCTGTTTTCAGTGGGCCCTTCTGCTTCGGTGGGAAGGACAGTCTCATGGGTCCTCACCCCCAACTTTAAAAAGTAACCTGTAATCATCTTTGGAATTTTACAGGACAGAGAGGCAAGGTCAAAACAGCAAACCAACAGAATAGTTAAGAGCCTGATTATCCACTCCGTGTGGGCACCCGGGCAGTGTCAGGTCCACTGCCCACAGCTGGCTCTGTGATTAAGGCAGCACTGGCCGCTCAGTCACAGACATGAGACCATCCCACTTTGCACACTCAAAATGTGGGATTGGGTCAACTCCCAGGGGCGGGAGCCAGGTCTTCATGGTGGACCCACCCTCCTAGAGAGGGAGAGGAGAGACCGTTTGGTGTTGCTGAGGCGAGGCTGCCTGGTGCTCTCGTCCCTGTCCTGACCACACGACAGAGGCCCACGCCGCCCTCTCCCCTCCCTGCCTCAGCACCTGGGGGACACACCTTGTGCCCTAGACTGCTCATCGCCACTTTGCCCAGGGTGAGGCTGAGGGGCACGCAAAACGGGGAACTTTTGGCATCTATTGGCAAATTTGGTAAAAGGTTTGGTGAAAGTGTCACTGAAATACAGCTGTGGGTGACAGAGAAAGCGATTATTTCGAGGCCAGCTGGGGGCCATCTGAACACAACCAGGGCCTTGTATTTTGTCTTCTGTCCCCAGGGGAAGGGCACAGGGCCCACTCTATCGCAGACTTCCAGGGCCTGCAGAGGGCTTGCTCCTTCCTCTCTGGAAATGTCAGAATGCTGAAGCTATGCTTGTGTGAGAGGCCACCAGGCAGGCAGCCAGCCAGACGGGAGCTTCCCCTGGGCAATAATCCCAGAGGGCTTCCGAATCTCCCCTGAGAGCAAAGACGCAGAGGCCTGGGCGACTCCTGCCCCTAGACCAGGCCTTCCCTGAGGCGGGTGGGCTCCCACAGGTCAGGCGGGCGCTCCCCAGGCCCTGGTCTCCACACCCCCCACACCGGCTCCCCCTCCTCTGATGACCTTGAGGAAAGACTGTATCCACACCAGCCTCCATCTCCTCATCTGCACAGGGAGGGACACTGTTCAGTCCCTGGGTGTGGGCGGTGGTGGGGAGTGGCCTGGTCACAGAGGGCTTGCAGAGGTCCCCCTCGATCATGATGAGTCGTGGGGACAGCTGTGGATGCCGCTTACCCTTCTGGATGACCTGCTGCGCCTGCTTTCTGACGCGGGTGTTGCGTAGAAATCGCCATTCCCGCTCCTTGCGGATTTGACTCTCCAGGTCATGCTCTTCTGGGATCTTCAACAATAAAAAACACCAAATTAAGTTCAGCAACTAAAAAATAATTATTCTCCAGATAAAAAGGCTCCTCTTCCCCAAATGTTGAAGAATCTGGGTGCTCTGGTCTGGCCAGAGTGCCTAATGCCCCACTGACAAGTACAGAGCAGAGCACTGGTGACCGAGTTCCCACAGCACACCCCCCCCACCCCGAACCCCGGCCCGGCCAGGCTTTCCAGGGAGCACCTGGCTGCTCTCCCTCTGCTGGCCCCTGGGGGTTGGCAGCTGTGAGAACCAAGACCCAGCGGAGGGTTGGCTGGCCCTACTTGAGGCTGATGCAGAGCAGACTTAGGAAACAGCTCAGACCTCCCAGGGCCATGTGCTGTCCTGCTCTTCAGAGCTCGACCGTGGAAGCTGAAGGCTGCCACTGAGTTCCGGCGAGGAGCAAGAGGGTGGCTGCTTTCAAAGCAGACGAGGTGCTTTTGAGAGGCGAGGTTCAGGGATAAGGACCCAGGCATGTTTTCTGCAGGAGAGGACACACGGCCAGTGCTGTGCCGGACACCGGGCTGAGCCGACCCTTCACAGATTTAAAACGTAAAACTAGAAAAAGATGGGGCGTGTTCAGAGACTCCTGCACTTTTTCTTTCTCTGATGCCAAAGAGCACTGGGGCATCTAGTTAGAGGACAAACGAGCTCATGAGAAGTGACAGAGGTGAACAAGCAGAGCAGGGCTGCCCTGTGGCTGTGCGAGCGGCAGGCTGGGCCCGAGAGGGTGCTGGGTCCTTCTTGGGAGCTGCTGCCTGGCACTCCACGGGGCTGGAGAGTTAGGAAAGAGCTGAGCTGCAAATCTGGTTAGCTTCAAACCATCTCCTGGGAACTCTGCTGCCCTTCCTGATCAGCCACAGCCTCAGAGAGACCGAGCCTATCTCCCCTAGAAATATGTGGATGCTAGAATGTCAGGTGACGTCCCCTTTCTCTATTCCTTCAGCAAGGTCTTTTTTGCTTCCTGGCTTGTGTGTGTGCACGCGGGTTGGGCTACATACGGGTGTGCAAAGCCAATGTCTAGGAGAGGTCTACAGTTAGCAAATAATAAACTAGGATTTAAGTCTACTTTATTCAGATGTATAAAATTCAGACGTATAATCACTTGTTTGTGTAATAAAGATGTATTTCCTTAATCATACTTGTCATCAAGTAAATTTGGCTGACTCTGATTCCTTACTTGAAACTCAGAGCTGTAAAGTCTGAAAATACAAAAGAAGTGAACTAAACTAGAAAAAACCCTACTTCTTCTTGGTTGAGAGTTGAGACAGTGCAGCTTGCCGTAAGCTGCCATCTCTCAGCCAGAGACCACCGCTCAGGGAGAGAGGGACCCTACACAGTCTTTTAAGCGTTGTTTTCTCCGCTAGAGAAGCACGGGGATGAAGAACATGCACGTGGTCACCGGCACGTGGCCGAGAGGAGGGAATTTCCACACGGAGAGGAGTTTAGGTCACCTTTTAGGTGGTTATTACGTGAAAATGGTCACAGAACATTTCTGTGTCTCTTCCTTGAACGCTTTATGTTATCTTTGACTACAAAACAAAAACAAACAACCGCAAACGTCACTCCTGGTGCCTACTCGTGGGGGACCTGGAGGTCCCTGTTTTCCAGCTTTTTATCACTATGCAACTTTTTTTTTTATAAATCACAAAACCCACACCCGCTAAAACAACAAGGACATCCAAACAACAGCCAACAAGAAGAAATGGTGTCCAGTCCTTCCACAGAACAGTCAGTGGTTTAGAAATAACCTCACAGTGGTAGATGGGTCAGACTGTGGTTTTTAACAGTTGGTTTCATTTTATGACAATCCAGAGCTGATTAGAAGAGAAACCATACACGGCCAGGAACGCAGAGCAGTAAGAAAAGGAAACCCCGGGTAAGAGACGCAGAGCACGTGCAGGACTGATGCTGCGCTTCAGTGCGACTCTGAGTTCTGGGGGAGAAAGTGACAGGAAGAGGTCTGAAAAGCTCCGAGGGGGAGGGACAGCACTGGCACTGAGTTCTTGGACCACACTTGCCGTGGCCCGGGGCCTGAGCACCCACGCCTGCCAGTGAAGAGTCGGAAGGTGGGGGCAGACTTGCGAGGCTCCAAAGGAAACAGGCAATGACTGCGAGGACGGGGGAAGAGTGTGTGTGGCGGGGCAGGGCATACAGGCAGCCCTGATGGTGGAAGCAGCTTGGGCATCTCAGACGGACCACAGGACCTGTACCTCACAGCCAGGGGCTGTCACTTCTCCTGTGCCAAGTCCTAAGAAGCAGAGCATGGCACTCCCAGGGGAGCAGCACCTTGGGCACCCACTGAACCTTCCTTACAGGCCCACTGTGCTCACAAGAGGACTTTCAGAACTGAACTGGAGCATGGCTCTGGACCGGGACTATCCGCTAAGAACCACTGGGATGAACGCAAGCAGTAATAGAGGGCAGCAGGTCCAGCGTGAGAGGCGGAGCTGATGGTGGGCGGACGGAGAGAGACAAGGAGTAGGAAGAGAGAGAAGAGAGGATGCTGTGAAGCACCAGCAGGCATCGGACCACTGGGATGTGACAACTGCCACTCAGGATGGAGGGACCAAAAGGAGCCACTCGATAGGTCATTTCCCATTCAGCTGTCGTCTTCGTCATCCGTTCCGCTGTCTCCTCCTCTCCACCTATTTCTCTGAAGCTGAATAACAGCTTCTGAGTAAACAAAAGCCCAGACCCAGCTTCTGCTGTGCTTTCCTCTACACAGAGCTAGAGGGATGTGGGCGTGGGGGGGGAGTGTTACATGACGAGGATCATGACTTGCTGCCGCTTCCACACCTCCTGGCTCCTACTCAGACAGAAACCAATTACGATTCTGAAGCCTCCCACAGAGAGGTGGCGGCCTAAAGCTGATGAGGCGCATCTCCCTCAGCTCCTTGCCTGTCACTGGGGCAACTTGCGGCGCAGGAACAAAGGAAGATGAGAGGGTCCCCAGGAGCCTGACAGAGAGCAGCAATCTGGGGTTTTTCCACACACAGCAAATCCTCACACGATGAATTGGTGAATCACAGGGCTTAGTTTTACTTTCAACACCTCTGAATTTAAAGAGTTTCAAGGTGCCCAGGATAAAATTCAAAACAGGTACATGGGTATCAAGATTGGAAAAGACCTGAAGGGAAAAGGGGAGAGGAACCCGCAGAAAGGGCTCACCAATCGATGCTAAATTCCCAGAGCCAAGCCTCGTCAGCTTCTACCCAGAAACAAAGCATGTTCTGATGACACAAAGGGAGAATAAACGTGCCTCTGGGCTTGCTCTTCACCTGAACACTTTTTCTTATTTTTCCCTCTGTTCAACAACACCCCACAAACACTGAAGGCCTCTCTCCACAAACAGAGAGAGGAGCATATGCTGGGAGACAAGTGCCAGCGACACGGGGCTGACCCCATGCAGCCAGGCCTCCTCTGTGCGGGACACCTAAGGGCTGCCCTTCAAGTGACAACAGTGTAGGCCACTGATGGGTAAAAAGCCCCAAAGTGAAGATCAGAGTTCACTATATATAGTGATACCCAAATATGGGTATTTTCATCATCTGACTACACTTCTTGTTAAGTATCAGGTTGACATAGAAATAACTCACATGCAGTAAATGTCACCCTTTTGGGGCACAGTTCTGAGTTCTGACAAGTGCTTATGGTCTTGTAATACCACAACTGAGACAGAGAACAGCTTCCCCCAAAATTGTTATGTGCCCCTCTATAGTCAGCCCTCCCCCCGCCCCGGGCCCAGCACCCAATCGTCTGTTTTCTGTCCCATAATTTTGTTCTGCTTTTTCCAGGATATTATATAAACGGATTGCACAGTATGTGGCCTTTTGAGTCCAGCTGCTTTCACTGAGCGTGGCGCACTTGAGATTAATCGGTGTTGTGTGTATTTCAGTTTACTTACACAAATTTTGTTTCATGACTAGTATTTCATTATATGGTTCTATCTTAGTTTATTCACCAGAAGAAGGATATTTGGGTTGTTTCTTGTTTTTGGTGATCATGAATAAAGCCACTGTAAAGATTTATACACAGGTTTTTTTTAATGAACCTAAGGCTTCATTTCTCCTGGGAGAATATCTAGGAAGAGGTTTGCTGGGTTGTACAGTAGTAAGTGTGTTTAATTTTCTAAGAAACAGCCAAATGTTTTCAGCGTCTGTAATATTTTGTCTTTGCACTAGCAAAGTATGGGAGTTTCAGCTGCTCTCCACCCTCTGTCAGCACTTGGAATTGATGAACTTAAACACTAGCCATTCTAGTTTTACCACCATACCAACGTGTGGTGGTATCTCATTGTGGAAATTCTCACTTTCCTAACGGCTGACTGCCTTAACGTTACACATCTTTCCATGTATGTGTTTGCCATCTGTACATCTTTTTGGGGAAGTGTCTGTGCAAATCTTCTGCCCATTGTTTTTAATTGGGTTGTGTGTTTCCTTATTATGGACTTTTGAGAGCTCTTTACGTATGCTGGATACAAGATTTTTATCAGGTATGTGTTTTACAATTTTTTTTTTCAGTCTGTGGCTTGCGTTTTCATGTTCTTAACAGTGTCATTTAAACAGCAGTTATCAATTTTGATGGAGTCCAATTTAACATTTTTTCTTGTATGGCTTGTGCTTTTCGTGTCTCATTAAAGAAACCACTGCCGAGCCCAAGGTCGGAAGGATTTTCCTGTAGAAGCTTCATGGCTCAGGTCACACACTTAGGGTTGTGATTCACTTTGAGTTGGTTATTGTACAAGGTGTGAGGGATGGGCTGAGGGTTTTTTTGGGGGGCAAATGGATGTCCAATTGCTGCAGCACCTCTTGTTGAGAAGACCATCTTTTCTCCACTGAACCGTCTCTGCACTTTTGTTGAGAATCAATTGTACGAACAAATGGGGATCCATTTGTGGACTCTATCCTGTTCATTGATCTATGCGTCTCTCCTCTTGCCAATTCCACACATCTTGATTACTTTAACTTTATATTGAG